CCAAAGGGAGCTGCTTCTGCTGCTGCCGCTGCTGCCTCCATTCTCAGATGTCCCTGATCCTTTAATCAATCACAGCCGCAGAAGAGAAGAGCAAACACCCGTGCCGGGGCAGAGGTATGTGCATGCATTCGTTCCGGCCGCAGCCGAGGCGGCAGGGCGGCCGCACGCCTTCGGCCGGAGGCACGGTGCCGTTCGCCGAGCTTGGAGCTCTTCTCCCGTCTCCTGGAGGCAGCGAGGGCTGTGTCCCCTCCGGTCCCCCCGACGTCCCCCCCGTGGGACTCGACACGGAGGATGGTAGCCCACGGGGTGCGGGCAGCAGGATGGGTGCAGGCAGTCTGTCCCTTCCCCGGGTGCAAAATGCGTCCCCAGGAGCGGGGAGGATGCTCCCAGCTCCCATCCCCAGGAGCTGTGCTGCCAGCGCTCACGTGCTCGGGGTAGCAGCAGCGAGCGGGGAAAATGGGGTGTTTGCAGACGGGTACCCCTTTAGGGAACTGCCGGGATGGGGGGGCGGCCTTGGGGAACCAGCCTGGGGGTTGCAGCTAAAACAGGGCTGGCCAAAAAACCCAGCCGTCCTTCGACGGCAAACCGTGGCCGGGCACGTGGTGCTGCTCCCACAGCTCCCCGCTCAGCAGCCCCGGGGATGGCCCCGATGGGGAGCAGAGCCCCATCCTGGGCTGCGTGGGGGGTGGGCAAGGGGTCCCCTCCAGCCCCGAGCCACCGGGGCGTGGAGAAACGTGTGTGTCCCCCCCCACTATTTGTCACCAAGTCCTGCGTGTCACCGCAGGGCTCGCTCCTTGGTGAGGCTGGAGATGGGGGCGGAGGGAAGGGGAAAACGCATCTTTTTCATAAAACCCAGCAAAATCCTCTCTTTCCTGCCGTGCTTCCCCGGCTCGCGTGCGGCGGCGGGGGCTCTGCCTGCGCAAGGCCGGCAGGGGCAGGCGGGGACCGCGATTTCCTTGCTTATTTTTTGCCATTGCTTATTTTTAGCGCCGCGTCTTAATATATTGTGACAGTGCCCTGGGACGTACTGCGCCTCCGGTCGTATGAGAAGGTGTCTGGGGCAGAGCCGCTTGATGCCGCAAACGAGTTTCAGCCAATCGCCAGCCCGGCGCTGGCTAACGAGGCACCCGCCGCTAACGGGGGTCCCCGGGGAGGGGACCGGGGAGGAGCAGCAGGGCTGAACCGGTGCACTGAATTTGTCGGGGCTCTGCGGGGAGGGACTTGCTCTTGGGGCAGTCCTGGGTTTTAAAGCCCTTTTATGGTTTTTGGTTTTTTTGTTTTGTTTTGTTTTTTTTTTTTAATAAGGTGGTTCTGGTAACTATGGGCTGATTGCTGGCGGCCGCCGCGGTGGGTGAGCCTGTGCCTGTGCCTGGCAGGAGCGGTGTCTTCAGCTGGGGACATCCAGGGGTTTGGTGTTTCAAGCAGGGACCTCGTGGGTATCCGGGGACACCGGAGCCACGCTGGCCTCAATCTCCCTTCCTGGAGCTGTTTTTTAGGAAGGGTTGAACGCTTTCTATGCCAAGACCCGCTGTGTGGTTGCGTTTTTGGACCTGCAAGTGGTTTTTATCACAGAGAGGCAGCTGGCAGGGACATGGGGGCATCGGGATCTTGCCGGGTCCCCGGGTGGGAGCCCACCAAGCCGGAGGTCACCAGCACCGGCTCAGCCGTGGGGGCAAATCCAGTGGGGGTTCGGTGGCTGGGGAGGAGCCGGGCGCATCGTGGCGCTGGTTTTGGCAGCGGGCGTCTGCGCGCGGGCGCTGCCTGCCCCCTGAGCCCATCAGTAACGGATATTTGTGGAATAACCCTCCTCATTAAAGCGACCTACCCCGTGTGTCAAAGCTGCTTTATAAAGAAATTATACTCGGCTCCGGCCAGGCTGTGCATATGTAAATGGGGCGATGCAGGAGCCCTGATTGAGACATCACGGGGTGGCTCAGCCCCAGGACCCCCGGGATTCCCCGATCCTGGTGGGGAGCGGGAGGATCCGGGGGGATGGGGCTGGAGGGTGCTGGCAGCATGGGACGTGCCCCAGCCACCTCCCGGGGTCCGGCAGCCCCTGTGCCCACCCAGGGCCTTGGCAGGAGCCACGGAGCTGTTCAGGGCTGGGATGTCTCCGGGTGTTGGAGGCTCCAACATCCCAGCTCCAACCCCCACGTCCTCCCCGCTTCAGGTCCTCCCTGCCCTCTGTGCTGCCGCACCTCTCTTGCTTTGGGGGAGCAGAAGGGGAACCCCCGCTTATCCATCCTCCCCCCCCTCAATTTTATCAAGACATCGCTGCTTGCCCGGCGCTGGTAGTGGAGATGTGGGGTCCCCCTCTGCTCCCCGCCTTGTGCCAGACCTGAAGCCCCGCTGAGCTGGGATTAAATCCTCCTGATCACGCACGTCTGGCATGTTGGGATGCTCCAGGGTTTGGGAGAAGCTGGAACAAGGTGCCAGAGCTGAAGCCATCCTGAGCATTGGGTGGCTTTGGAGCCCATCAAGGGACACCGAGGGACACCGAGGGACGCTGAGGTCCCTCGCACGGTGCCGGCGCCTTGTACCAGCTTCTTGCTTTCCAGGAAGGAAAGCTCAGGCCGGGAGTGGACACGGCAGCACCAGTCCCCCCCTCCCCGGATCTGGCTGTCCCCATGTGCCGGGGCATCGGCGCCTCTTCCTGCAAACACGGCAGCAGCTCGGTGGGGAAATAAGACCCTTCTTTTTTTTGGCAGCGTGTTGCTAATCAGCACGACCCAGCGCGCACTGCCGCGGGCGCGCGGCTCGCTGCTATTTAAGGAGCCTACTTGAAATACACCTGCAAGAGGGGAGAGGAGAGCCAGCAAGTAAATAACCCAGCAACCCGCCGGAATGAAAACACCGGCGGGGGCGCGCGGGCAGAATGAGAAGAGATGCAGTGATTTAAGGAAAAAAAAAAAAAAAAAAAGAAAAATGAAATCTGGCAATTCCCAACTGTGGCCTGGTTTTCCGTAAGGATGCTCCCTGGTCCCAGTGCTTGGTGGGGAGACCCCATCCTGATGGCCATGGGGGGGGGGGGGATCTCGCCTGTGTCCCCAGTGTGGGCAGGGGGATGGATGCAGCCCCCCCACTCGTCTCCCCACTCGGTGTGTTTACCACATGCTGCTGTTCAGCTCCTGCCTTTCCCCCCCCCTCCTCCCCGCCCCTCCTTTTCTGAAACATTATAAATCAAACAGCTTAAAATGTAAAGCATCAAAAATTCTAAAACCTTCATCTATTATTAACTGTGACAGTAAATTCCACCTCTGAATGTTTCACATAGCAACTGTTACCAGGACTCGGCATCCGAAGCTGATGTTCCAGCAACTTTCCATCATGCCGCCGCTCCGGCGATGCCGAGACCGGCCCGGTGAGATGCGCTGCTGCTCCCAACACCTTTCCTTGGGATTGGGGTGCCAGCAGAGAAACCCAGCTCGGATTTAGCGTGAGCAACCCAGCCGTGCTGCTGGGATAGGAAAGGAGCTCGACACCTGCGTGTTGGGGTGCGTGAGCTGGTGGGGGGGGGTTCCTTCCTACCTCCATGATGGTCATGCAACCCCCCCCCCGAACTTCATTTCTTTCGCCATCACGCTGTGGAACACCGTAAATAACGAGGATGGGAATGGGGTAGTTAAAATAAATGGATGGAGAGGTGCTTTTGCAGGGGATGGTGTTTGCTTTTCGGCCGCCGCTTTGCCCCAGTGCTGGTGGTGGTTGTGCCCCCCCCCCCCCCGCCCCGGGTGGTGACCCCCCACCCCAGCGTGGGCCGTGGCTCTCGCTGCTCTGAGCGCCGGGCTCCTGGTGAGCTCGTGGTGTGCCGGGTGCCCGCGGGGGAGCCGGGCGTTCGCCACTGGTGCTTGTTCACCTTCCCCGCACGGCATCGCAGCTCCGCGCTGCGTTGTGCCCCGTGCCGGGAATCTGGGATTCCGAGATTCCTGGATCTGGCTGCCGCCGGCTGTGGTGGAGCCACGTTGGGGTAGTTTGGGTTGGATTTGGCTGCGCGGCAGCACGGGGAGCCTGGTTGGAGGAAGGGAGAGAGCCCTGGCTCTGCGGCCCCGTGGGATGCTGAGCCTGGTCTGGTGAGAGCCCGACCAGCACACCGGCATCCCCGGTGCTGCGCTGCGACCGCGGCGAGGCTCACACCTGCACACCCCAAGCTCCCCAAAACCACCCAAACAGCTCCCCCCCCCCAGCAGTGCCCACCAGGCCATGCCTGGTGTCCCCTCTTCGCCATCGCCCCGGCTGTGCCGCCTTCCCGCGAATCCCGTGCGTCGCCGGAATCTCTGCCGTGCCGTGCCGGCTGCGGGGCCGGGCGGCAGCGGCTGCTCCGCCACCTCCCCGGGGACAGGCAGCAATTTTCCTGCTCTGAAGAAGCTTGTGAAGGTTTGAGTGAATCTGGGAAGCAAATCTAATTGGCAACCTGGTAATTCCTCAGGGGGACATGTACTTTGGTCATATCTAAGTACATTCCAGCCAGTGTTTAAGACACGCTGAATCCAAACTTGGACAGTCAAATACCAGCAGCCCTAAGCTCCTTATCTATTTCAGGCAGATTAACTCCTTAATCATCCCTTTTGGAAGTTCCCTGCCCCAAATTCCTCTCCCCTCCCTTTCCCGCCCCCCCCCCTATTTTTTCAACAGGAACAAAAGGAGCAGATTTTGCGGGTGCGAAAGGTTGGGATGGCGCCCACGGTGATTGACAGAGTCAATAACCAGGAACCAGGAGAAGGCCTTTGGAAATCTGCTTCCCCAGTTCACCTGCCCCAGTATTTGTCTTTGGGATTTGGAGGCGGAGAATGTATAATTCCGAAATAATTTATCGCATGACATCGAGCCCCGATTTATTTTTTCCAACCCCTCCTTTTATTCTTATTTTTCCTGTTTCCCAGGGGATTCCTGCTCAACATCCCCTAGCAAAGGTCTAGTGGGGGGGGGGGGATGCTGGCTCCCACCGTGCTGGCTGGGGGGATGTGCTGCTCTACAGCCCCCCCACCACGCTCATGGCAAGGGGATGCTCATTTTTCCCCCTCTCTTTCCCCCTCCCTGGCAGGCAGAAGAGGCCATGCCGAGCCGCCGGGACCAGCCGGTGCTGGCCACTGTCACTCAGGGGAGTGTCGGAGCATTACGCTTCATTACCGAGCTGTCTGCTGCTGGCGGGAGATGACTTAGAGGGCAGAGCCTGGCAGTGGTGCAGCCGAATTCATCTCCGGCGGACAGACCTGTCTGCAGGCAGACGCCGAAGTGCGGCATCCGCGGGGCACCCGTGACCCGGGGTGGGGGGGGCTGTTGAGGGGGGGAAACCTTTGCCATGCCGGCGGTGGGGAGCCTGAGGCTTGGGCGGTGTGATCCGACCCGGCGGAGCCCCAAAAGCAAAGGCAGGAGGCGGCGCGAAAGCAAACCGTGGGAAGGCAAAGAGGGGACAGGGTGATGCCCCCTGTAACTGTGGGTCCCGGCTCTCAGGGGGACAGGGACCACGGGTGATGTTTAATAACATGGGTATGGATGTCTCCGTGCGCCTGCTGGCGGGTAGGGGACATGGTGGGGACACTGGGGCACTGGTGGCAAAGCCCCGTCACCTTGCAGAGAGGGAACTGGGAGCGTGGGTGGGGGACGAGGCACAGCCCAGTGCCAGGGTCCGTCCTTTGCCCACCAGTGCCCATCCCACAGCAGCCTAGTGCCTCCTGGTTTTGGTCGCCCCACCATGAATTTGCTGAAAGTTTTCCCGGTAGAAAAATCGGCTGTGGGAAGGGCAGAGCCTGACCTGCCAATGCCAGAGGGGACGGACCCAGTGGCACGTTTAGGGGAGCTGGGAATGTCCTGGGGTCTCCCCAGCTGGGGATGGAGGCACCCACCGAGGGAGGAGGTCCGGGACCCTGGCACAGGGCTGGGACATGAGCCTGCTCTGTCCCCATCCTCCCAGTCTGGCATTTCCCAGCCTGGCAGTGCTGGCTGGGGACAGGAGCACCAGCACCGTGCACAAACCCAGACCACCCAGAGGTGGGGAAACTGAGGCACAGCTGGAAAGCGGTCCTGGTCCCATCCCAGCTGGGTTTCCTGGTTTTTCCCGGCTCTGAGCTGCGGTGCTGGGTGGGCACCAGGTCCTGCCACCGGGTTCGCTGTGGTTTTGTGGGGCCGGGGGGCTCAGCACGTGCCCGTGGGCCGGCACAAGGTGGGGACCATGAGCCATCCCCGCCACGTTGCCCAGGGAGCGCAGCCTCTACGTTCAGCTGCACCCGCTTGCAGCATCCTCGGGCAACCGCGTGCGGAGCGGGATCCGGGACCGGGATGAAGGATCCATTCACTCTCCCATCCTTGGGAGAGCTTTTATTTCCTTTTATTTTTGTCGCAAGCAGCACGAACCCCACGGGGCCGGGACTGCAGCCGGCCGCATCCTCAGCATCACCCAGGAGGATGCTGTGGGGCACCCCGCTTTCCTCGCCCAGCGAAGGGGGGGGCCCGCCGGCACCTCGGGGGGGCCGGCACCCGCTTTCCTCCCAGTAACAAACCAGCATCTCGTTTATATAGTTTCAGCAAAACAGCTTGTCCGGCGGCTGCGCCAATGAGTGAGCGGTTGGAAGGCTGCTCCGCCGGGGGAGACTCTCACCGGCGATTTGCATAAAAGCAGCTCACAAAATATCGCAAGTAATTAGGCAGCGTCGGCCTCGGGCGGCACGGCCGATGGGCTGCGTCCGGAGAGCGCAGAGCAGCGGTTCATCACCGGCAGTGATTGCCAGCATCGCTCCGATTGCTCTGCTCCCCCCCCCTCTCTTTGCTTGCAGGGATGCGGTTTCTGTCTTGCTTCAAGGGGAAACTGAGGCAGGGGGCAAAGCGGGGCATGGGAGAGGGAGGGGGGGGGGTTGATATTAGTGGTCGCGCTAATGATTGGAATGGGTAATTATTAGTGGAATTGAAGTGAGTCAGGCTGAGAGTGGGAGGAGAGGGAGGAAGGAAGGGAGGAAGGAAGAAGGATCCCGACCTGTCAGGCAGCAAATGAGTAAAGAAGGAGAACGGGAGCGTGCCGAGAGGCAGCCAGGCTGTCGCTTCACCCCGGCACCGCGCTGCCCGGGTGCTGAGTGGCCACCCCACGGCTGCCCCACGGCTGCCCCACGGCCGCAGTTGTGCCCGTCGGTGCCCCCCGGCCCGGCTCGTTTTGCCCGTCCTTGCGGCTCTGCCGGCGCGTCCGCAGCAGGATTTTGGTGCGGAGGCTGGTCCCTCCTTACCCTCCGCCGTATTTCCAGACGCGTGACGGGCTGGTTTTCCTCTCCTCGCCAGCGCCTCAAGGTTGGTGTCAGTCCCCTTGCTGGGGAGCGGGAACACGCGGGGCCCTCCCTCCATATTACGTCCAGTGATGAATTTTGCTCCGGAGCGCGCTTCCCCTCCGGAGAGGGGATTTGCCTAGGAAGGCTCAAGCTTAGCGTCTGCTTTTTTTTATTTTCTTTTTTTTTTTCTTTTTTCATTTTTCCTTCTTTTTTTTTTTTATTTTCTTTTCTTTTTTTTTCTTTTTTCCCCTTATTTTTTCTTGTTTTCCCTTTTTTTTATTATTTTTTAAATTTTTTCTTTCTTCCTTTTCTTTTTCATTATTCGTTTTTTCTTTTTACTTGTTTTTTTCTTTATTTTCTTTTTCCTTTTTCTTTCCTTTTTCTTTTTCTCTTTTTCCTTTCTTCTTTTTCTTTTTTTCCTCTTTTTTCTTTTTTATCTTTTTTCCTTTTTTTTCTCCATTTTTTATTCCCCCCCCTTTTTTTCCCTTTCTTTTTTTTTTTATTCTTCCCCCCCCGCCTTTTTTTTTCCCCTCCTTTCCTTTTCAAATCATTTCTTGCCAGCTGGCACTTTCCAGCAGCAAGAAAAAAAACACAGCAACTTGCTCTGACTCTCAGAACCTGCCCCCCATCCTTCCCAGCCCAACCCTTTGCAAACCTCCCAGCCCTGACATCAGGGACCCAAACCCGCCCCCCCCCCTCCAAAATAGAGGAAAAGCCAAAGGGAGAGAGGATGGAGCTGGCGGATGAGCCGGATTTCCATGCAAGGGGATGAGGTTGGGGAGGCCACGGGCTTCCCCTGGCAAGCGACGGAGAAACCGGGGCCAGCAGAAACGTTGAGTCATGAGTGCGGTTCGCAAGCGATGATTTTTTTTTTTTTTTTTTTTCCCGAGTAAAATTCCTCGCCGGGGAGGAGCAGAGCTGGGAAGGGGAGGCAGGGGTGAAGGACTGTGCCCCCCAAATGAGGCATTGATCTCTTAATGGGGCTGCACCCCACTGCGATGGGAATTCCCTGGGTAGGTGTCCCCCCACAGAGGGAGGTTTGGGGTGGGGACACACACACACACACACACACACACACGGACCTGCCCAGGGAATTCCCCAGCAGCTGGATGGGAGGAGCGGCGTGATCTGGGGGGGCTGCAGGAGATGGGGACCCCATCCCTCCTCCTCCTCCTCGCTACCCGCATCCGCCCACCCCCGCGCAATGGGCGGCGCAGCCCCAGCTCCATTTATCATCATCTGCGGGCAAGTGAAGTGTGCAGGGAACAGCTGCTCCGGTCGGCTGAGCGCCGAAATGGGGGGGGGCACGCCGTGCTGGGGGGGGAAGCGGGGGGCTGGGGTCTGCCCTGTGGGTTCTGTGTGTGTGTGTGTGTCCCCCAGTCGCTGCGCTGGGACAGAGCGGTGGCGTCGTGGGAGATGGTGGTGCTGACTGGGGGTGGGGGATTGGGGAGAAGGTGTGTTAATGGGGTGCACTGGGGAGAGGGTGCCCTAATGAGAGTGCATTGAAGGGGTGCCCTGGAGAGAGGATGTCTTAAAGGGGTTCACTGGGGGGGAGGGTGCATTAAAGGGGCTCACTGGGAGGAGGGTACGTTATCGGGGTTCATTGGACAAAAGGGTGCATTAAAGGGGTTTATGGGGGGGCGCAGCGCATTAAGAGGGTGCATTAATGAGGTACATTAGAGAAAGGGTGTGTTAAAGGGGTTTGTTGGGGGAAAAGTGCATTCAAGGGGTTCACTGGAGAGAGGGTGCGTTAGCGGGGTGCATTAGAGGGTGCAATGGGGGGGGGGAGTGCAGTGACAGCGGGTGCACCCAACGGGGGTGCCCAGCCCCTCCGAGCTGGGTGCCACCCCCTCCAGGTCCGTGGGGGCTGCAGGGACAGACGGACGGACCGCAGCTCCACAACCGCCTGAAGGGTTTGACCCTGCCCAGGGCGAGCCGCCGCGTCCCTCTGCACTGCCGGCGGGGTCTGTCTGTCTGTCTGTCTGTTTGCCCATCCAGTTCCCAGCTTGTGGGGAAGGACGCCCTTTCCCGGGCTGTCCCACACACCCCAATCCCCCCTTTCAGCTCCCTCCCCGCTGCGCCCTCCCCTTTTCTCCCTGAAGAATCAAATTCTCTGGAGCAGTTTGTGGTGTGGCAGCCAGCCAGAAAGGGTTTCTTTAAACTCCGCCAGCTCACAATTAAACAAATCCAGGGCTGACGCTCCTTGATAGGCACTTATTCCCCCTCCACCCCACCCCAAGACCACTGAGGAGGGCCGGGGGGGGGGGGGGGGGGGGGTCCTATCCCTTTGCTCCCCGCCTCTGATGGAGCCTCACCATGCGGGGCTGCACCCCTGGGTGAGGGCTGGGAGGGGGTTTGGTGCAGGGTTTTTTTGGGGGGGGGGGAGTGGGATGGGGGAGATGGGGGGGGTGGGGATTGTCCACGGTGCCAGCGCTGCTCCGATGGCGAAGCGTCATCCCCCCTGCGCGAGCGCGCTGCTATTTTTAGTCGTCGAGTCCTTGTTGATGGCGCAGCAGCGAAGGCGAGGGAGCAGCCGGAGGAGCAGCAGGGCTGGGGAGGGGGGGTGGGGGCTGGATCAGGCCCCACGGGATGAGCAGCAGCTGGGAAGCGAGGCTGGGATGTGGGGGGCTGGGGGGGGGGGATGCCCGCTGCCCCCGGGGCTGTTGGGGGGTCTTGGGTGCTTACCGAGGGTCCCTTGCCACGGAGAGTCCTGGGTTGGCTTCAGAGGGCTCCGGATCCGACCCAGCCGTGTCCCTGCCGGCCAAGGGAAGGGGGAGGAAAGGGAAGGCAGGGGAAGATGGAGGGGGGAGGAAAATAACACCCAACCCAGCCACGCAGCACAAATCCTCCTGAGCAGCAGGCAGGCTGCGAGCCACCGCGCGAGGCAGGGCTGTGCTGGCCGGGCAGTGCTGCGCGGTGCCCCGGCTCGGCTCCTTACATCAGCCCCGGGCACCGTGACAGCCCCGGGCACCGTGACAGCCCCGGGCACCGTGACAGCTGCCCCCCACACCGCATCGGCCCCCCACACCGCATCGGCTCAACGCACCGCGTCCGATCCGTGCACCAGCAGCACGGCCTCGTGCACCGCAACGTGGCCCCGGGTCGTGCACCAGCACTGGGAGGCGCAGCGGGTCCTTGCGTGTCCCCAAAAGGTGACACCGGGGCTGTGCTGGGAGCTGTGGGGCCGGCTGGGCTGTCCGTGCGTCCCTGGGGACCGAGGGGACGGGATGCTCAGGTGTGGACGTAGCCAGCAGCCCCTTGCGTTATGAGGACAGGGTCGTGCTGGCTCTGGGCACCATGGTGTCCCCAAGTCCCTGCCTCCCCCGACAGATGCTTTGGGGACCCCTGCCCGGGCACCCACACCGTTAGCCCTGGCTACAGCCACGGTGGCTTTGCCAGGCAGGCGACCGGCTGCAGCCATGCACCGGCAGCGTCGATCCGTATCAATTCCCATGGCCGGGGCAGCAGGAGCCGGGCTGGAAACTTCTTCAGGACTGGGAGAGCATGTCCAGCAGGAACACGGCGGGCGGGGGGAGCGAGTGTGCAGGGCCCCCGGGATGTGGCCGTGGCCGCCTCCCCCTCCCGGCAAGGGCCGTAACCTTGCTGCTGTCGACAGCTTGATTTGATGCCATTAAAGCGTTTGCTCGGAAAGAGCCTACATCAGGCAGCAACATCTGTTACGGCCCTTCTCCGGCAAAGCCGCGGCGCAGCCGAGGGCAGCGCTGGCCTCCGGCTCTGCCGACAGGTCTGGGTGCTGCTGGTGCTGAGCGTGTCCCCTCCCGGGCCCGAACGGCAGGATCTGACCCCTGGCAGAGCCCGGTGCCTGCAGGGAGATGGGGCCGTGGCACCTCGCTCCCTCCGCATGGGATTTTGGCTCGTCTTGGATCCAGGAAGGGACGGGCAGCCCCAGCTGCAACCCCCTTGACTGGTGGGCCTCATCCAGCCCTGCATATTGTGGTGCTCAGGGGCGCAGGATGAGCCCCAGGCCTTGCCAGGCACTGGGATGCAGCAGAGGCTGAGGGGGGGGGGGTGGGTTATCCTGCAGGCATGGCCGTGGCCTGATCCTGCCCGAGGGTTCCTCCCAGCCACGCACACGCACGCCCCGCTCGCGTGAGCAGCGCAGCACGGCCGGTGTGCACGTACACCCAGGGGCCACGCACACCCTGCAAGCGTGCAAACCCCGGGGTGCGTGCACGCCCCACGTGCAGGCACGCCCCACGCGTGTGCGCACGCTGCACCTGTGCACACCCTGCACACGTGCACACCCTGCACACGTGCACACCCTGCAGCTACCCTCCCTCTGTGCATCCCCACCTCTGCGTGCCCGTGGGCGATGCCGTCCCCTTTGCACCAGGTGCTTTTGCTCGGCCTGGCATTGTCCCAGGTGTTTGGCAAATTAGCAATAATTAATTAATAACAACAATTGGTAATAAAAGGGAAAGGGGGGAAAAAGCTCCCCTTAAAGCACCAGCCCAGGGTCTTCTCAAGCCGATTTTGTTTTTCAAACCTGCTTCCACATGGAGCATGAGGGGCCCTTTTCTCCCTTTAATTTTCTTGCTGCCGCCCAGGGCTGCCCCAGAGGCCTGGCTTTGATTTTGCTGCCTTTGTTCCGGCAGCCCCGGCACAGGACGGGGTAGGGCCCGCGCCGTGGTAGCAGCTTTTGCGCCGGCCTTACCGGATTTTTAATTGACCTGTCTTTTCCCCGGGATGCTTTAACTGCATCTGGTTGCCTGTGCAGCCTGCGAGATGAGGCTGCAATATGGGGGAGCAGCATGGAAAGCATCCAAAAAAATGGGATGGGGGGACGGAGGGGAACGAGGTGCCGGGCTGGTGTGGCGGGCACTGAGCCTGGCTCTGGTGGTGCCGGGGGGCACCGTGCCATCGGTGCGTCCCTGAGCCGCCGGCGGTTATGGAAATACAACTAAATAAAACCCCGTGTGTGTACGTAGACCCCAAAAAAGGTGCCGAGGGCCGGTGCGCTGCGAGGAAACGAGGCCGAGCTGGGACTGATCAGGCTGGCGTTCACCCCAGTGGTGCTGGGGACGGGCAGGATGCGGTCCCCGCCCCCCCGCTTGCCACCAAGCCCTTTCATTAGCCTTTCCCCCCACCCCGCAAGCCACTGGGCCGCCTCCGAGATCAAACCAGTGACCCCAGGTGCTTCCCCGCACCGATCGCGAGTGGGGCAAGGGAGTGGGGAGGTTTAATGACGAGGGTGGCGAGGCGCTCGGCTGATAGATGTCTGCTGGCAGGAGCAGACAGCTTCCAGATGGTATCGCACCGGGGCAGGGGGCTCGGCTGGGGCCGGGGGGGGGCTGCGGGACACAGCAGCAGACAGAGCTGGGCAGAGCCAGCAAGTTGAAACGACTTTTTTTTTGCAGCAGAGCCTGCGGTTCTGGCCCTCCGCGCTGCTGCTTCCAGTAATTAGCCCAATAATTATAAAGAATGGCGATAAGCGGGGTGTTCAGAGGGGCTCGTGGGATCCTGGTGTCCCCCGGGAGGGCGTGGGAGGAGGAGGGGGGGGTAAGTGATTTGCAGAGATGAGGGGTGGTGAGTGCCTGGAACGCAGAGCTGTGGAGCTGGGGGACCCCGGTGTGGGGCAGGGGGTCACTGTGCTGCGTGGGGCAGGCAGGGAGAAGGGGGGTTTGCTCGCTCTGCAAAGCCAGGGCAGGCAGCGGAGGTGGGGAAGGTGCCCAGCAGCAGGGTGGGGAGGGCTGGCTGGGCACCCTGCGGGCACCCCAGCACCCCCCCTGCTCGAGGGCACCGCGCGGCCGAGCGGGGCGATGCGAGGGGGGGTACGCTCGGGGGGTGATGGAGGGGGATGAGAGGGGAGGTGGCGCAGCGGCAAACGGGGGGGGGGGTGCGGGGGGGGTGCCACGATGCGAGGCAGAGTGGTGCGAGGGGGATGCGAAGCCGGCTGCTGCGGTCTAGGGCAATACAGGGCGGTGCAATGCAAGGTGGTGTGATGCGAGGTGAGGACGTGATGTGACGTGACGTGATGTGACGTGATGTGATGATGTGATGTGATGCAGGGCGATGCAATGCAGGACATGATGCAGGGTGATGCAGGGCGATGCAATGCAAGGCGGTGTGATGCAGGGCAATGCAGAGTGATGCAATGGAGGGCAGTGTGATGTAGGGCGATGTGATGTAGGGCAGTGCAAGGCGATGCAATGCAAGGTGATGCAGTGCAAGGCAACGTAATGCAGGGCAATGCAAGGCGATGCAATGCAGGGCGATGTGATGCAGGGCAACGCAAGGCAGAGTGATGCAGGGTGATGTGATGTAGGATAATGCAAGGCGATGCAATGCCAGGTGATGCGATGCAGGGCAATGCAATGCAGGGCAATGCAATGCAGGGCAATGTGAAGCAGGGCAGTGCAAGGCGATGCAGTGCAGGGTGATGTGATGTAGGGCAGTGCAAGGCAATGCGATGCAAGGCGATGCAGTGCAAGGCAACGTAATGCAGGGCAATGCAAAGCGATGCAATGCCAGGTGATGCAATGCAGGGCAATGCAATGCAGGGCAATGCAATGCATGGCAATGCAATGCAGGGCAATGCAATGCAGGGCAATGCAAGGCGATGCAATGCAGGGTGATGTGATGTAGGGCAACACAAGGCGGAGTGATGCAGGGTGATGTGATGTAGGGCAGTGCAAGGCGATGCAATGCCAGGTGATGCAATGCAGACAATGCAATGCAGGGCAATGCAATGCAAGGTGATGCAATGCAGGTTGATGTGATACAGGGCAACACAAGGCAGAGTGATGCAGGGTGATGTGATATAGAGCAGTGCAAGGCAATGCAATGCCAGGTGATGCAATGCAGGACAATGCAATGCAGGGCAATGTGATGTAGGGCAGTGCAAGGCGATGCAGTGCAGGGTGATGTGATGTAGGGCAGTGCAAGGCGATGCAATGACAGGTGATGCAATGCAGGGCAATGCAATGCAGGGCAATGCAATGCAGGGCAATGCAATGCGAGGCGATGCAATGCAGGGCTATGTGATGCAGGGGAACACAAGGCAGAGTGATGCAGGGTGATGTGATATAGGGCAGTGCAAGGCAATGCAATGCCAGGTGATGCAATGCAGGACAATGCAATGCAAGGCAATGCAATGCAGGGCAGTGCAAGGCAATGCAATGCCAGGTGATGCAATGCAGGACAATGCAATGCAGGGCAATGCAATGCAGGGCAGTGCAAGGCAATGCAATGCCAGGTGATGCAGTGCAAGGCAACGTAATGCAGTGCCAGGTGATGCAGTGCAGGGCAATGCAATGCAGGGGCTATGTGATGCAGGGCAATGCAAGGCGGAGTGGTGCAGGGTGCTGTGGTGCAGGGCGATGCAGTACAGAGCGATGTGATGCAGGGCAGTGCAAGGCGATGCACCGCAGGGCGATGCAATGCAAGGCAACCCGATGCAGGGGAGGCGAAATGCCGGGGGGGGGGGGGGGGTTGTGCTCCGGGGTGGCGGCGGGGCGATGCCACGGCAGGCGAGGCCACGTCCCCCCCGGCGCAGGCCGCGCTGCCCCTCGCCGCCGCGGCGATGCTTCATTTGAATTCTCGCCTCTCCCTCTCTCTCTCCCTCTCTCTCTCTCTCTCTCTCTCTCTCTTCGCAGATAACGAGCCCGCGCCATGCAGTCCTTTCGAGAAAGGTGTGGTTTCCATGGCAACCAGCAGAGCTACCAGCCGACTTCACAAGATACATCACGCCTGGAGAATTACAGGCATCAAAGTCAGGCAGGGCCGAACTGCGAGCGGCAGAGGCTGGTGGCGAAGGAGTACTACAGTCAGCAGCAACTGCCGTACTCCGGCTACGAGAACAGCGCCGTGGAGAAATACCACCGGGGAAATAAGCAATTAGCCGGGCAGCAGCTGCAAGGCAGGCCGGCCTTTTCCAATTACGCCGTGCAGGAGAACAGCCCCTACCCGGCCCGTTATTCGGGGGACGAGAGCCTGCAGGCGTGGGGCGGCCAGCCGCAGGCACTGCCCGGCGGCGTGGCCAAGTATGAGGACAGCCTGATGAAGAAGACGGCGGCGTTGGCGGGTGGGAGGCCGTACCACGAGCCGGCGGCCGCCTCGCTGCCCTTCCGGACTCACTTTCAGCAGCAGCAGCAGCAGCAGCAAGCAGCAGCAGCAGCAGCAGCAGCAGCAGCAGCAGCAGCCGCCGCCGCCGGCGCTCCCCTACCCCAAGCTGCAGCGGCAGAAGCTGCCGAACGACGTCTCCTCGCCCATGCCCTTCTCGCAGAGCCCCCATTTCGGGCAGCACTCGCAGTCCTTCCCCGCCTCCTCCACCTACTCCTCGGTGCCGGGGGGCAGCCAGCCGGCACACTCCTACAAGAGCTGTACGGCACCCTCGGGGCAGCCGCCGCTGGAGCGGCCCCTGGGCAGCGCCGCCAGCCTGGCCCCCGGCCCCCGCGTGCCCAACCTGCACGGCTACCAGCCCAACCGCATCGGCTACGAGCAGCCCCAGCAGCCCCCGCAACCGCAGCCCCCGCAACCGCAGCCGCCGCAGCCCCCGCAGCCGCCGCAGCCCCCGCAGCCGCCGCAGCCCTTGCCGGGGAGGCATCACGCCCCGGAGACCCTTCACTACCAAAATCTGGCCAAGTATCAACATTACAACCAGCCGGGCCAGACCTACTGCCAGGGCGACGCGCCGCCCGTCCGGACGCCGGAGCAATACTACCAGACCTTCAGCCCCAGCGCCAGCCACTCGCCAGGCTCGCTCCGTCGGCAGGTCCCCGTCCTACAGCTCCACTCCCTCCCCGCTGATGCCCAACCTGGAGAATTTCCAGTACAGCCAGCAGCCGCTGAGCGCCGGCGCCTTCCCGGCCGGCATCGCCGACCACAGCCATTTCATGCCGCTGCTGAACCCTTCTCCCACCGACGGGACGAGCCCTGACGCTCAAGCCGGGAACTGCAAAAACTTGCAGAAGGAGAAGCTGCCTGAAAACCTGCTGTCAGACCTGAGCCTGCAGAGCCTGACGGCGCTCACCTCCCAGGTGGAGAACATCTCCAACACCGTCCAGCAGCTGCTGCTCTCCAAAGCGGCCGTACCCCAGAAAAAGGGCATCAAGACCCCGGCAAGGACCCCTGAGCAGCTCAAGGGACAGCACTGCAGCCCCGAGAGCAGCACCTACTCAGCAGAGCAGGTGGGGACCCCCCTGTCCGACCCGCTGAGCACCCCCCAGTCCGTCCATGCCGAGACGCAGGACACCGACTATCTCAGCGGGTCGGAGGACCAGCTGGAGAGGAGTTTCCTCTACTGCAACCAGAACCGCAGCCCTGCCCGCGTCAACAGCAACTCCAAGGCGAAGCCCGAGTCGGTGTCCACTTGCTCCGTGACCTCCCCGGACGACATGTCCACCAAATCGGACGACTCCTTCCAGAGCATCCACGCCAGCCTGCCCCTGGAGACCTTCACCAAGTACGTGACCAACGAACGGGATTGTCCCCGGCTGCTCCTCAGCGCCCTGTCCCAGGAGGAGCTGGCTTCCGAGATCATCGTCCTGCAGGATGCCATCAGCGAGAAAGCGGACAAAGCCTGGGCCAACTCACCCATGCTGAGCAAGGAGGCCACCAAGTCCCCCTTCCAGCTGGAGAACCACCGGCCCTGCCTGGACTCCATGGTGAAGGGCACCTGGCCCAGCCAGGGTGACTCCAGCACACTCACCGAGCCCCTCAAGCTGGACAAGGCTTCAGGGGCCAGCACGGGGAAGGACTTTGGCGAGGAGGTGTACGAGGGTCCCCAGGTGGAGTTCACGGCCACCGAGACCAAGGACGCCCTGAAGGACGCTGCCCCACTGGCCTTCAACTCCAAGCCCAGCATCCCGGCGGCGACGTCGAGCGCGGGAGCCGCCGGCTACAGCTGCTACTCGAACACCACCGCCAACTCGGTGGCATCTGAAAACGCCATGGAGCAGTTCGAATGGCCGGAGGAGAGCCTGGGCGAGGCGTGCCTGCGGTGGAAGGAGCTGCAAGCCGCCGACCTCCCCAAGGGCTTGTTCCCCAGCAAGTTGGTGGGCTCCTGCAAGGAGAAAAAAAATGCCTGCAGCTTGGATCTGTGTGATGGCGAGCAGCCGGCCAAGAGCGAGCCGGCCCGGGACTTTGGCCAGCAGGCGATGGAGGAGGAGGAGGAGGAGGAGACGCTGACCTACGACGAAGCGGCAAAGGCAGATAGCGAGAGGTGGCTGCAGGACACTCGGCACTGCTGCTCAGCTGGGGACTTCAGCGAAATCCCCATCATCTCCTCGCCGGAGCTGAAGGAGTCGGACCTGGAGGCGGAGGAGTACTCCTCGCTCTGCGAGCTGGCCAGCTCGGAGCAGAAGTCGGTGACGTACGATGCCTCACCGCCCAAGCCCCCCGAGATGCCCGCCGTGCTGTCCTCCAGCGAGGTGCCCGTGTCGGCCGAGGAGACCGTCAGCACGGTGGAGAAGGATTGCTCGGCTCCCGCCACGCGTCTCTCCGGTCAATCCGTCATCCTGCTGGGCCCCGCCGTGGGCACAGAGACCAAGGTGAAGAGCTGGTTCAAGTCCTCCCTGCCCCACATCCAGCCCGAGGAGGAGAGCGGCGGAGGGGAGACGTCCCACCGGGACGCAGCCGATGCCGAATCCGCCCCGTCGGTCGCGGTGAAGCAGCAACTCGCCCCCGAAAATGTGCTGGGGAAGACGGAGCCTGTCTCGCGGGGCAAGAGTCTCCGCAACAAGAGGGTCCACTGCCGGTTGCCGGAGGCGGATGGCCCCGGCAGCGCCGTGCCGAGCCCCTTCGATGACCTGCCGGCAGCCGGCGGCATGGCCAGCGCCTGCCTCGGGCCAGACAGCCAAGCGGAGATACCGAGCAAGAACGCCCACAGCCAAACGCCCCGCTTTCCAGCCGAGGGTCTGCCGGCACGCATGTGCACCCGCTCCTTCACCGCCCTCGCCGAGCCCCGCGCCCCGGCCCCGCTGGAGGGGCTGAAGGTCCCCGCGCACCAGGAGAAGCTGGGGAAGAAGCCCGCCTGCGGCGTGAAGCAGCGGGTGGCTTTCAAAGCCAGGAAGCGCAGCAGCCGGCCGGCCCCCAAGGTGGTCCAAAACGCCAGCGACGGCACCCTCCTGGTGCCCGGCTTGGTGGTGACGGAGGAGGTGGCAGGGCCGACGCTGGCGGAGGGGGACACGGTGGAGGCGGGGGAGAGGGACCAGCGGTCGATGATCTTGCGCTCCCGGACGAAGACGCAGGAGGTTTTCTACACCAAGAGGCGGCGGGGCAAGCGGGCGGCCGACGTGCGGCTGAAGAACTGCAAGGCGCCCAAGAAGCTCATCGCCAACAACCACCTCCCGCCCGCCTTCAAGCTGGCGGCTCCGGGCAGCCCCCACAAAGAGGGCAAGGTGGGTGCCCGGATGAAGCTGCCCAAAGCGGGGCCGGGCGTGGGGGGCAAGATGTCCGAGCGGCCCCTTCATTCGCTGAAGAGGAAGTCCACTTTTATCTCCCCCATCCCTGCCAAGAAGAGGAACCTGGTCCTGCGGAGCAACAGCGGCGGCGGGAAAGAGGAGAAGCCAGAGGCACCCCCCAGCCTCTTCAAGAAGATGCCCGTGGCCAAGAAGGTGAAAGCCAAGCTGCCCCCCAAGAGCTCCAGCGAAGCCGTCCCAAAGCCTCCCCCGCCGAAGGAGGCCCCCGATGTCTGCATCAAGATCACCTCCCGGGCAGCCTTCCAGGAGGCCACCAAGACCAAAGTGCTGCCTCCCCGCAAGGGCCGCGGCCTCAAGCTGGAGGCCATCGTCCAGAAGATCACCTCGCCCAACCTGAAGAAGTTCGCCTGCAAACCGGCGGCCACGGCGGCGGCGGCGGCCACGGCGGCTGCCTACGGCACCTCCCCGAGCCCGGCGGGAGCAGAGCGGGAGCGGGCGGTGAAACACAGCGGGGTGGCCCCGGCGGCGGGCGACGCGCGGCTGCCCAAGCCGGCGGCGGCGCAGAAAACGCCCGCCGTGCCGGCGGCCGAGCAGCTCTGCCGGAACCCCAACGGCCGAGCGCCCAAGGGGAAGTTGGGCGGCGGGAAGAAACTCGCCGCCGATGGCTGCCAGGGCGAGGTCTGTGCGCCGGCCCCGGGGGTCCAGCCCGGCTCCGCCGTGGCAGCCAAAAGCCTGGGGCTGCTGCCCAAGAAGAGGAACCGCAAGGGCAAAGCGGCCACGTTGGGCATGGCCAAGGTGCCCCTCGGCCCCGCGCCGCCGCCGCCGCCGCTGCCCCGGGAGCGTGCGGCCGGCCCGGGCGGCGGGGAGGAGGTGCCACGGGAGGGCAAGAAACCAAAGAGCGAGGAGAAAGAGGCGGGGGGCGGCGAGGCCCCCCCTGAGGGACGCCCCGCTGCCGGGCCGGCGCGGGGACCGAAGCCGCGGGCCAACCACTCCAACTACAATGGCTACTCCAAGCGGCAGCGGAAGCGTCTGGCCCACGGCAAGGCCAAGGCGGTGCCGGCGCGGTGCAAGAGCCGCGGCAAGCGGCGGCGGCAAGCCCAGCAGGCCCCTCTCCTGCACCCCGCCGAGCCCGAGATCCGGCTGAAGTACATCTCCTGCAAGCGGCTGCGGGCGGACAGCCGGGCCCCCCCCTTCGCTCCCTACGTCCGCGTGGAACGGCGCGGCGAGTTCACCACCGCCTGCACCGTCGTCAACTCGCCCGGCGACGAGGCCCGGCTGCAACGGGGGCCGAGCGGGCCGGCGCCGCGACCGCGGGCAGCCCTGCCCGCCTCCTCCACCATGCACATGGGGCCGGTGGTGTCGAAGGCGCTGAGCGCCGCCTGCCTGGTCTGCTGCCTGTGCCGCAACCCCGCCAACTACAAGGACCTGGGGGACCTCTGCGGGCCCTACTACCCCGAGGACTGCCTGCCCAAGAAGAAGTCGCGGCTGAAGGAAAAAGCCAGGGCGGAGGGGCCGGGCGAGGATGCCGTCCCCCCCGCCGCGGCCGAGCGGGCGCCCCGAGGGACGGAGGGTGGCTGCGGCGCCAAGGCGGTGCGGCCGGAGGGCGCGGCCGAGGCGGCCAAGCAGAGCACCCTGCGCTCCAGCCCGCGGGGCATGTTCCGTAGGCTGCAGAGCTGCTACTGCTGTGACGAGAGGACAGAGGGCGAGGAGGCGGCCGAAAAGCCCCGGCGGCACGAATGTCACAAGGCCGAGTCCCCGCCGCAGGAGCCGGCGGGCGACACGCAGGAGCACTGGCTGCACGAGGCTTGTGCCGTATGGACCGCTGGGGTTTTCCTGGTGGCGGGGAAGCTCTACGGGCTGCAGGAGGCCGTCAGAGCGGCTGCCGACCTGGTAAGAGCTCGGCCACCCGCACGGCACCGCGCCCCGAGGCGGCATCTCCCGCCAGGCTCCTTCAGCCGAAGCCCTTCCCGCGGCCGCGCCAACGGCCGGGATGAAAATTAATAGGGTTGGCCCCGACGAGTCGCCCTGGGGGAGCGGGGCGGGCGTTCGGGTGCCGTGAACCCCGCTGGCTTCTTCCCGTGAGATTTGTGCTGCCGTGTCGCACCTAAACACCCCCCCCCCCCCCTTTTAGGTGTAGAAGCGTATTTATGTTGTCACGTTTTGAGAGGGTGGCAGGGATGCGCCCCCCCCCCCCCCGCTCCCCGGAGACCATGAGGGTGCTGAGCCTGGTGGGTTGCATCCCCCCTCTCCGGCCCAGCCGTGCGGTGCATGGGGTGGCTCGGAGCGGGACGGATGAAGGCAGGCCGGGAGGTGAAAATGGGTGCGACGTGGCCTGATGCCACGGTGATGGGCATCAGGGGAAGGGGGCAGCCCTGCTCTGCTACAAGCAAGAGGAGCGCGGGCACATGGAGTGAGCAAAATAGGGAGGATGCTGCTGCGAGAGCGCCAAGGGGACACGGAGGTTTTGTGCTGGGAGGAGGGAGGGGACAGCCACCCATCAGAGGCCGGGCAGGGGGTCTCCGGTGAGCCCCCCGGTACCACGTTGGGGGCTGGCTGTATTCCCAGGTGTGTGCGCTCGTGGCGTGGCTGGCTGGTGGTTGCCGCCCTCTCCCTGCCAAAGCCATGGGGGCCGGGGGATCCCACCCCTGCGGCACCCCCCCCCCCCACCACCCTCCCCAGGGACGGGGCAGGAGATGGGGAGCGCCCCTGTGCTCCACCGCCACCGAGCCGTGGGCACGGCCCAGGTCATGTCCCTTCACCTCCACACCCCCCCACACACCCCGCCCGTGCCCCGTGGGGGGTGGCCGTGGGCTCGGTGCCATCCCGGGGAGCGGTATAGCGGGTGGAAACCTCGTGCGAGGGGCGCGGCATGTGCGTCGGCGTGGGAGGAAGGATGCTGCGTGGGGCGGGGGGGAGGCAGCGTGGGGCTGGAGGGACACCGGTGCGATGCCTTGGTGGCCGGGGGTGGGGAGGGGGAGGCCCACGGGGGTGCTCTGCTCCGGCCGCCGGGCTCTGACAGGGTTCTCTCTGTCTCTCCGCATCTCTCCTTCCCCGTTCCGAATTCCCCGGGGGGCGTTTTAAAGAAGTGCTCGAGCTGCCAGCAAGCGGGAGCCACCGTGGGCTGCTGCCAGAAGGGGTGTCCCCACACCTACCACTACGCGTGTGCCGTCGACACAGGTGAGCCCGGCCACGGGGATGTGGGCGTGGGGTGTGTGTGTGTGTGTGTGTGTGTGTGTGTGTGTCCGGCACCCACGGGGCCGGCAGCTCCACGATGCTCAAGCCCACCCGAGGATTTGAGGAGGGGTGGGGGGGACGGCGATGCTCCTTTCACCAGCAGTGCCAGTGGGTGTCCCGAGTTTGGGAGGCCTCAGCTGAACCCTTCATGAAAAAGCTGAGGTAGATCAGGACAGTGGAGGTGGTGGGCGGGGGGGAGGATGCTGTGTCCCCTCAACTTGGGGACAGTTCTCCTGCAGCGTGGGGACCTGACGTGGCTTCTCTCCTTGCAGGTTGCTTATTAACCGAAGAGAGCTTCTCTCTGAAATGTCCCAAACATAAGGTAAGCCCAGATCACCCCCCCCCACGCAAACATCCCCCCCCCCTCAATGCTCCACGGTCCCCTGGGGTAGGAGGACCTGTCTTCAGACCTTGTGCCCCCCCTCCCTGGGGACACCCCACTCCACAGGACACCCACCCTGCGTGACAAGGGGCAGCATGTCCCTGGGGGGATACCAGAGCACCCAGGGGTGTGGGGGGCAGGCGAGTGGGTGCTGGGTTTGGGACACCCTCCCCCTCCCGCCCTCCAAAAGCCGGGGGGGGGGGGGGGTGGGGCGGTGTTTATCCCCCTTCTCTGAGCGCCCACGAGGTGATGGGTGATAATTGAACCCGCGCTGCGTCTCGAGTGGGTGCATGCTTATTCACGGGTGGGCAGGGTGGCTGCTGATGGGGACATCCCCGCTGGCTCGGGGACAGGACCCCAGGGCCAAATCCTTCTCCCCCCAACCCCCCCCAAAACTCACCGGGCTGACACATACCCCCCCCCCCCCCCCCCCCCCCCGGCTTCTCCCTGCAGAGGCAGCCGCTGTAGCTCCCCGCGGGCCGCCAGCGAGGGACCGGCGGAGGAGGCAGCGCCCCGGGAGCGGGGTCGAGCCGTACCGTCCCGGGAACCGTCCCGCTGTATTGGGGCGCAGCGCTGTCACCCCGTGTCCCCGTCCCCCTCAAAGCCCCGAGCCCATTCCGGGCGGGGGGGGGGGGGGGGGCAGAGCCAGCGCCGGGTTTTCCCCCCCACCACCACCATCATCCCCGCCGGGCTCCGGCAAAACCCGGCCTGGATCCAACGGGAGACGGAACGGGATCACCCGGCCCGCGATCGCTGCACAGGGGGGAGGGGGGAGGGATGGCGGGGGGTGGGGTGGGGGGGGGGGAAGGGTAAAAGGGGGGGGTCCCGGCGATGTTGTCTTACTGTGGGGCCGCCGGAACCCCCCCGTGGGTCCCGGCTCTCCATATCTCACACTGATCTGATCTGAGATGTTGCCTTCAGCAAACCTCACGGTGTCTGTATATACTTGCGACGGAGAAAAAGGAAAAAGAAAAAAAAAAAAAAAAACAAAACAAAAAAAAAGAGAGACAAAAAAAAGACAAAAAAAAAGGAGGGAAAAAAAAAAAAAAAAAGAGACAAACAACGGCCTGCTGTTTGAAACACCACTCTGCTTTTTCCGTTTTGTTCTTCCATCTCCTGCCTTCCCCCACCCCGCGCCCACCCTGCCTGTCTCGGGGTGCCAGCCGGGTCCCCACCGGGGTGAAGGGTGCTTGGCTGGGCTGGTGGGCACCCCCAACCCCGCTCCCACCCTCCGAACCCCGGCCCATTGCACCCACCACCCTCCTGCCCCACGGGGTGCTGGCGCTGCTGGGACGGGGCCACCCGATCCTGCTCTCCGGGCCCCCAAAATTCACCCTCCTCCCTCTGCTCGGCCTCGCCAGCACCTCCTCTGCGGCTGTGCTTGCTGGGGACGGGCTTTGCTCCCTCTGCTTGTGCAAAACCCCAGGGCTCTGGGTGCTGAACCCCAGGGTTTTAGCTTGGTGCAGGAGGGTGCAAGCAGCCCAGAAATGCCTTCCAGCTGGCGGCAGGGTCCTTGCTGGAGGAAGAGGAGGAATTTGCTTCCTCCCTCTGCATGGCCCTGGCTCGCCCCTCGCTGCGCTGGGTTTGCTCAGCTCCCTCGGCCCCTTCCCAGGGGCCTCGGTGGAGCTGGAGTGGGGGGGGGGGGGGGGGGGGCTCCCCAGCGGTGGGATCACCCCCTGCCCGTGTCTCCGTGGGGTGCCCCACATGACACAATCCCCCCCCCCCCAAGTCTCTGCACACCCCAACCTCACACTCCCGCACCCCCTGGAGCAAATAACCAACCCGGGGTGAATCGACCCCCAAATCCCATCCTAAAAACAGAGCTGCCAGCTGCGCCCCCCCCACCCCCTCCCCTCACCTGCAAGGCATCCTGCAAAGTGGGAGGGCACAGTGCTGGCCCCATCCGTCCCCCCCCTCCCCGACCCCGCAAAGCCAGCTCCCCGTGTCCCCCGCCGGCTGTCGCGTCCCCTCCGTCCCACCCAAGCCCCTCACCCTCAAGGTTTGCTGGCCACAAAATGTCTGTCGTTTCAGCAGCGTGCCTCGGACACGGGAGTGAAAAACCACAAAAAAAAAGAAGGGGGGGGGGGGGGGGGGAAGAGGGGAAAAAAAAAAAAAAAAAAAAAGAAAGAATAATAAAAATAATTAATTTAAAGAAAAAAAAAAATCCCAGTGTCCCTGGCAGTGTTGCCTGAAATCTGGCTATTTTTAGTGACATCTTGTACATATGACTGTAAAATGGTAAACCGTGTGTATTATATATTGCCTCATTATATAGTGTATATATATGTATACATATACATATATATAATATATATGAAGACTGTAAATGTTAAGACTAGTGTTCTTATTAGTATATTGCTTCACACTGAAGATTGTGTGTAACAAGCTGTTTCTAAAAGATGTTTATTTTCCTTAAGAGTAAAAAACAGGTCATTGCATTCAGAGCGTCAATAAAGATACAACGATTGTTTTGGAAGTACGTGGCGCCCTGCTTGTGGCCTCTCTTTCTCCTGGGGGGGCTACCGGGGGTCCCCCCAGGCTGTGCCAGCCCCTGGATGGCCCTTGGTCCCCAAGTGCCACCTGAGCCGAGGGTCGCGCTGCAGGGCTGGGCTGGAGGGGGATGCTGTGATGGGGCTGGGGTATGGGGGGGGGAGTCAGCACCCCTGGCACATCTTGGGGTGCAGAAGGTGTGTTTGGGGTCCCTTGGCACCCAGTGTCCCCCTCCCTGCCACCTTTGTGTGTGTCCCTCCGTCCCGTACAGCCCTCCCCTGGGGGGGGGGGCAAAGCAGGATGCACAGCAGGGGCTTGGGGGGGGCGGGTGGGGGGGTGGGCTGCCCAGTTCTGTGTACCCCCCAAATTCAATACCTGTCCCCACCCCCCCAGTCCAGCACACACCGGTATAAATAATCAGCTTTAATTGTCTGTACAAAACTCTCCAACTATGAAAATACCGTTTAAAAAGGCAAGTGGGGGGCGGGGGGGGGGGGGCTATGTACAAGAAGGGGTGAAGCAAGGGGATGGGGCCACCCACCAGCACCCCCCCGGCCCCCCCCGGGAGCCCCAGGCCACCCTGCCCTCCCTTCTCTGGAAGCGCTTGTGCCCAGGAGTGGGGGCAGCTCCAAACTGGGGGGGGGACGACTGGTCAGTGCTTGGTGGGGGGGCGGGGGGGGGTGGGGACAGGCTGGGGGTCCCCCTTTTGCCTGACTGGGAAGAGAGCCCTTCACCATCACCCATACTGGGAGCAAAGCTGAGGCGCCCCAAACTCTCCCCCCCCCCCCCCCCCCGGTAGTAGTGGGATTTCGGGGGGCCGGGTAGGGGACATCAGGGGAGGGGGGAGAGGACAGGTGTGTCCCCCCCCCCGCCCCGTGCCAGGGCACTGGGAGGTGGGGGGGACGCGGTGGCATTGGGGGGGGGGGGGGCGGGGGGGGGTGGCCCCGCATCCCCTCGCCATGCAATACCGGGACAGTGTCACTAGAGGTCCCCACGTCCCGCTGCCCGAGCGGGCTGGGGGTAGGGACACAACCGTGGGGTGAGTGGCTGAGCCCACGCACGCTGCCCCACGCGTGGCTGCACCCCCATCCCGTGTCAGGGCATCACCCTGCCCCCTTCCCCACCTTCCCTCACACCCTCCTTAAAACCTGCTCCCTAACACTTGCCCGAGTGGGGAAACTGAGGCACGCACCTCCCCACCACCCAGCTTCCCCACATCCCTCGGGGGGCTAGCAGGGGGGGCTAGCAGGGGGGGCTAGCAGGGGGGGCTAGCAGCGTGCCCTCCCCCCCCCCCCGCCTCTCCCCAGCTAGCCCGAGGTGACGGTGGTGCCGCTGCCCAGTTTGATGATCATCTGCTGGCAGTCGTGCAGCGTCCGTTTGTCACCCAGCTTCTCCAGGGTGCGGGCGGCCTCGGCCAGCATGCCCACGCGCTGGCCCGGCCCCGAGAGGAAGCTGGGTGGGAGGTAGCAGCAGGCCAGGAGCAGAGCCTCGGCGTGCTCCCGCGGCGTGGGGTGACTCTCCGGCTCACCGGCTGCAAGATTTAGGGCGGGGGGGGGTGGGTGTGTGTGGGGGTGTGTGTCAGCCCCCAGGGTGCCACTAGAAGCCACCCACCCTCCCTCGCGGGGCTCTGGCGTGGTGACAGGAGGCCATTCGCCCAACCTCAGAGGCGCCACCATCAAAGGGCGGGCAACAACAAGCCCCTGCGCCCCGCTCCCCAGCACTGTCGGGGTGCTGGGGGGCAGGGAACTGGGACCCACACCCACGCTCCGTGTCCTACCCGTTTTGCTGCCCTGCACCCCTCTCCTCCGCAGGCTGCGGTCCAGCAACTGGTGGGTGCGCGTGGGGCTGGCACGGGCCATGAGCCGGGCTGTGGCTTCGTGCAGGAACACCTGGAGCGAGGTGGTGGTGGGGGGGGGGGGACACACAGCGTGAAGCGGGGCTGGGGGGGGGGGGGTGTCGTGGGCAGGAGGCCGAATGGAGGAGGAGAGGGGCTCACCCGGCGCATGGCGGGGCGGAGGGTCTGGGCCAAGCGGCGCAGGCTGCGGAGGTCCTGCTGGAAGCCGCGGAGCTCGACGGCGGAGGCCTGGTAGAGGCAACTGCGCTGCTGGCTGGCGCTCATCTGCTGCTGCCACAGGTTGGTGCGGGTGACGAGGAGGAGGTCGCAGAGCAGGAGCTGGACCGCCTGAAGGAGGGCGGGGAATTGGGTGAGCGGGTGGGGGGGGTGGAAAGGGGGGGGGGGGGGAAGCCTACAGACGGAGGGGTGGGGGGCTGGGGGGGGGGTGGGGGGGTTGTGCACCCAGGAGGTCCCGTCGCTGCGCGGGGCCCCCCGCCGGGCTGCATTGGCAGGGGCATTGCACTCCCAGTCTGACACATGCAATGCAACTACAATGCACCCCGGCGAGGGCCGGGGGGGGGGGGCACCTCCCGCCAGGGCCAGGGGCTCCCCCCTACCACCCAAGGCGGGTGGTCACCCTTCCTACACCACCACACACACACACCCACACCCCCCCCCCAAAAACCCCGGCTCACCTTGTCGATGGTGCCTTTGGGGGGGCTGCCGAGCTCCAGGCTCTCCCGCAGGCAGCCGCTGGCCTTCTCGCAGTGGTTCAGGCTGGCCTGGCTCCCGTCTTGTTTGCTCAGCATGGCTCGGACGGCTCGGAAGGAGTGCAGGGCGGCGCGGGGCAGGGGTTTTCTGCAAGGTGTGTGTGCGTGGGGGGGGGGGGGGTGGGTCACAGTCACTGCAGACCCCTCGCTGGGGACGGCTGTGCCACCCCCGCCGCCGCCCCGCCTCAGCAGCCACCGGGCAGCAGGGGCTGTGTCAACCCAAAAAGGAGGGGAGGTGCGCCAGGAGCTGCCACCCCCCCCCCCCGCCTCCCCTCCACCCCCAGTGTCCCCAGTACTCACTCAGAGCTCTGCAGAGCCCGGGGCATGGTCTCCACCAGCGGGTAGAGGCGCTCAGCCCCCTCTTCGTCTCCCCGCAGCCAGTGAATAACTGTGCCGATGACGGCCGCCCACCACTTGGACACGGGGTCGGTGCCTGCGGGGCGGGAGAGACACGGGAGCGGGGGTGTCCACCAGCCCCGTGGTGTGTACCCCCCCCCAAAAAGCATCCCCAGCGAGGGGACACGCCAGCCTCACCCGTGACAGCCGCCAAGCCGGAGCTGATGGAGGGCGCAGGGCCGGGCACGCCGCTGGCGTCGGAGCAGCCGTTGAGCAGCTGGAGGTACTCGAGGGCGTCGGAGAAGCGCCTGCTGGAAGGGATGAGGGTGGGGGGTATGAGTGGGGTTGGTCCCACGCCGAGTGGAGTTTTGGGGGGGGGGGGGGAGGGAGGGTCACCCCGGCACTTACCCCTCTCCCTGGGCAGCGGGGCGGCCGGGCTCGGGCACGGCCACGCAGCACAGCGCCTTCTCCAAGAGGTGCTCGCGGAAAAGCTGGGTGACCTGTGCCAGCGGGTCCACTGCGGCACAGCGGGGCGGTGAGGGGGGGGGGGGGGGGGTGCGCCTCCACCCCGAAATGTTGCTGAAGGGGGTGTTGGGGGGGGGGATGGAGGGGTTACCTGGGTTGCCGGCGGAGCTGTAGATGGTTTCTCTCGGGATGCCCTTGACGGCCCAGTCCCCGTCGACGAAGAAGCGGTGGCCCAAGGGGTGGCAGAGCCACTGCATGGCGGGGGGCACGGCCCCGCCGTGGGACAGGGCTACGCGGCGGGCGCTGCAGAGGAACGGGCGCTGCGGGGACAGCAAAGGTGGGGGGGGGGGGGGGTGGGTCGAGGGGGTGTCTGGAGACACACACCCCATGGAGGAAAGGCGGGGGGGGGGCTGCCCCACATCTCACCGCCAAGAAGTGGAAGCAGCGGTGCAAGCTGGCCTTGACCCGCAGGGCGGCCGCCACGTAGATCTCGGCCAGGGCGGCCACGGAGACGGCGTCGCCGGCGCACTCGGCCAGGTTGACGGCGCTCAGCGCCAGGTTGATGGCCAGCAAGTGCCCCCCGGCTTGCTTCCCTGCGGGGACGGGGACACCTCAGGGTGGGGGGGGGGACGGGGGATGGGGAGGGGGGGGGGTGGTGGTGGTGGTGCAGGGGGGGGGGGGTCCCGCGCGTGTCCCTCCCCTCTCCCCGGCCGTACCGGCGAGGTGGAGCTGGTGCAGGCGGTGGTAAGCCATGGCGGCGTCGCGGGCGCTCTGACGGACGTGGGCGGCGGGGGGGGGGGTCCGGGCGCAGCCCCCCGGCGCGGGCGGCCAGCCAGTGGCCCACCCAAAGGCGCTGGAGGAGGTGGCGCAGCAGGGTCCAGAGCAGGCTGCAGGCCAGGTCCCCGTGGGAGGCGGGCAGCGGCCGTCCCAGCGCTGCCAGGGCCGTCCGCAGGTGCTGGGCTCCCTCGGCAAAGTCGCCCTGTGCGACCCCCCCCGCCCCGCCCCACCCAGGGAGAGAGAAGCGGTCAGCGCAGGGGGCGTGGCCAAAGGGAGGGGGCGTGGCCAAAGGGGGGGGCGTGGCCAAAGGGAGGGGGCGTGGCCAAAGGGAGGGGGCGTGGCCAAAGGGAGGGTGCTGAGCCAAAGGGAGGGGGCGTGGCCAAAGGGAGGGGGCGGGGCCAAAGGGAGGGGCGAGATGGGGGAGTGGGTGGGGCTAGTGGGAGGGGGCGGGGGCTCTTGGGAGGTGGCTATGGGGGAATGGGCGGGGCTAAAGGGGGGGTGGGGCTTGGGTGGGCGGGGCTAAATTGAAGGGGCGGGGATGAGGGGAACGAGCGGGGCTAAAAGGGGGAATAGATAATGAGGAATGGGCGGGGCTAAAAAGGGCGTGGATGGGGAAATGAGCGGGGCTAAAAGGGTATGTGGATAAGGGGATGGGCGTGGCTAAATGGAGGGGGCGTGGATAAGGGGGTAATGGGCGGGGCTAAATCGAAGGGGTGTGGATACGGGAGAATGAGCAGGGCTAAAGGGGGGAGGGTTGATTGGGGAATGGGCGGGGCTAAATGAAGAGGCAGGGATAAGGGGGGAATGGGCGGGGATAAGGGGGCAGTGCTAATGGGGAATGGGTGTGGCTAAATGCAAGGGGCGGGGCTACACAGAGTGTGAGGGGTGTGGGTGGGCTGAGCTTAGAAGGGGTGGGCGGGGCTAATGGCACCAGAAGGGGTGGGGTGCTGCAAAATAGGTGGGGCGAGCCAATAGATCAGGTGCGGGTGGGAGGGGGCGTGGCAATGTTGGGTGGGGCAAGGGGTGGGGCTTACCCGGTCAAGGTCAAGGTCGGCCTGCCGTCGGTGCCGCCAGAAGAGGACGGAGGGCTCGGAGTGGGGGCGGGTGACGGGCTCCCCGCAGACGAAGAGCCGCACCACCGCCCCCAGCACCAGCGCCGCGTTCAGCGCCCAGAAGGCCAGGGTGGGCCAGAGCCACTGCGCCCACCCCCACGGCTCCTCTGCGCGGGGAAGGGGTCAGCGCGACCCAACCCAACGGCTTCCGCCCCCATCGTCTCCCACCTCGGACCCACCCCGAGATCCCCCCTCTGCCGATGGCCTTCACCCCACGCCCGCCATGACCCCCTTCACTCCCGTGGTCTCCATCCCAACGGCCTTCACCCCATGCCCCACCCCAACAGCCTCCGCCTTGACGGGCTCCACCCCAACAGCCTCAACCCAGGTAGCCCCCACCACACACCCACCCCAACCTCCTGCACCCCGGTGGTCTTCACCCCAACAGCCTCCATCCCAATGGCCTTTGCCCCACGCCCAACCCCAGCCACCACCATCCCAACGTCCTTCACCCCATGCCCACCCCAACAGCCTCCACCTTTATGGGCAACACCCCAACAGCCTCAATCCAGGTAGCTCCTACCACGCCCCCACCCCCTGCATCCCGGTAGTCTTCACCTCAACAACCTCTAGCCCACGCTCATCTCGTTGGTCTTCACCTCAACAACCCATGCCCATCCTGGTGGTATTCACCCCAACAGCCTCCGCCTTGACGGGCTCCACCCCAACAGCCTCAACCCAGGTAGCCCCTACCACACACCCACCCCAACCTCCTGCACCCCGGTGGTCTTCACCCCAACAGCCTCCATCCCAATGGCCTTTGCCCCACGCCCAACCCCAGCCACCACCATCCCAACGTCCTTCACCCCATGCCCACCCCAACAGCCTCCACCTTTATGGGCAACACCCCAACAGCCTCAATCCAGGTAGCTCCTACCACGCCCCCACCCCCTGCATCCCGGTAGTCTTCACCTCAACAACCTCTAGCCCACGCTCATCTCGTTGGTCTTCACCTCAACAACCCATGCCCATCCTGGTGGTATTCACCCCAACAGCCTCCGCCTTGACGGGCTCCACCCCAACAGCCTCAACCCAGGTAGCCCCTACCACACACCCACCCCAACCTCCTGCACCCCGGTGGTCTTCACCCCAACAGCCTCCATCCCAATGGCCTTTGCCCCACGCCCAACCCCAACCACCACCATCCCAACGTCCTTCACCCCATGCCCACCCCAACAGCCTCCATCCCAATGGCCTTTGCCCCATGCCCAACCCCAACCACCACCATCCCAACGTCCTTCACCCCATGCCCACCCCAACAGCCTCCATCCCAATGGCCTTTGCCCCATGCCCAACCCCAACCACCACCATCCCAACGTCCTTCACCCCATGCCCACCCCAACAGCCTCAACCCAGGTAGCTCCTAACACACACCCACCCCAACCCCCTGCACCCCGGTGGTCTTCACCCCAACAGCCTCCATCCCAAAAGCCTTTGCCCCATGCCCAACCCCAACCACCACCACCACCCCCCGATATCCTCCACCCCAAGAGCCCCCACCGGTGCTTACCAACGATGCTGGACTCAGCCATGATGCTCCTGCTGGGACCAGCGGTGCCGGGGCTCCCGGCAGGGGCCGGGGCACCGGACCCCCGGAGGAGGGAGGCCAGGGGGTTGAAGGAGAGGCAGAGGAAGACGAAGGCGCAGAGGGCCATGCGGGAACGGTCCAGCATGCCCTGACTGCTGGGAGAGGGTGGTGGGCGCTCCTGCTTCACCTGCACGGGCAGAGCTGCTGTGAGCCCAGGGGCACGGGCATGGTGGTGGGGCACAGGTAAGGGATATGGGGCACGGAATATGGGGCACAGGTATGGGATATAAGGCATGGCATATAGGGCACAGGAAATGGGATACAGGGCACAGGATATGAGGCACAGGTATCAGATATAGAGCACGGGATATGGGGCACAGGTACGGGATACAGGGCACGGGATATGGGGCACAGGTATGGGATATAGGGCATGGGATATGGGGCACAGGTATGGGATACAGGGCACGGGATATGGGGCACAGGTATGGGATATAAGGCATGGGATATAAGGCACAGGATATGGGGCACAGGTATGGGATATAGGGCACGGCCACGGGATATTGGGCACAGGTATGGGATACAGGGCACGGGATATGGGGCACAGGTATGGGATAGAAGGCATGGGATAAGGCACAGGATATGGGGCACAGGTATGGGATATAGGGCACATGATATGGGGCACAGGTATGGGATATAAGGCATGGGATATAGGGCACAGAGATGGGATACAGGGCACGGAGTGCAGGGTATAGGTACGGGGCACAGAGCACATTTTGGGGTACAGCGCCTGGGGCACAGGTGGAGCACCCCACTGCACCCCAGAATACCCCCCGCACCCCTCCCTCCAGCCCCAACTCAGGCGAGGAGCAGCCTCAGAGAGCAAGACCAGGGCTCTCGGCTCCTTTCCTCACGCTTCTTTTTTTCGCTCTCGGCAGCGTGATGCAGCAGATCCCCTGCCTGGCTCGGGCCGGGGCCAAGGGGGGGGATCCCCCCACATCCCCCCCCCCCCCCTCCCCCAAACACACCTCGCCGTGGTGGCAGCGGGGGCTGTCGGGCTCCGAGTCGCTGCCGCTGCTGTTGCCGCTGCCCCCGCTGAGCGAGAGCGGGCTGCTGTGGGACGGCGAGCCCACGTCCGAGGGCGGCGGTGTCAGCATCTCCATCACCTCCGCCTTCACCACCTCCACGGGGGCCTCCGCCTTGGCCCCCCCGCTGCAGGAGGCCACCAGGTCCTTCAGGGACTCTGCGGGGAGCGGAGCAGGCTGAGGGGATGCTTGGGGAAGGCGGGGGGGAGGGGGTGCGGGGAGGGGGTTCAGGAGCCCCCCACCCCACAGCCGAGACCTGCCCTTCCACTCACGGTTCTTCTGCACGGCCATCTTCAGGGTGAGGTTCTCCTGCTTCAGCTTCTGGTTGCTCTGCTGCAGGAAGCGGATGTACTCGATCGCCTTCCTCAAGATCGCCGACTTGTTGAGCTGTCGGCGGGCACGGGTGACTCAGCCCAAATACCAGGTGAAGCCCCCCCCCACCCCGATTCCTCCTTGCCCACCGCTGCCCCGCTACCCCCCGCCCCCCCGGGGCTCCCACCTTGGCCTCGGTGCCCACCACCAGGTCCTTGAGCTCCACGATCTTGTCGTTGATGGAGGAGCGGTAGCGTTTCTCGATGGCGTTGTGCGCCGTGCGCTTCTCCCCCCGGCTCTGCACCAGCGCCGGCTTCCCGCTGGGTGCCAACCGGTTGATGGGCAACTTCTCGGCGTCCACCACCAGCGGCACCGTGGCCAGGATGGTCCCTCCGCTCACCAGCGCCTGAGGGGACGCGGGGCAGCATCGGTGGGGGTCCTAGAGCATCCCCCCCCCCCCTCCCCACCCCACCCTGGAGCTCCCCGGCGGTGGGACCTACCGGCACCTGCAGTGAGGTGGCAGAGCCGCTGGCACTGGTGGCCAAGGAGGCGATGCTGGAGGTCTTGGCGTTGCCAGCATCGGTCTTGACGGCCGTCAGCAGCAGGGAGTCAGCCTTGATGAAATGGGGTTGCAGCAGGACCTGGGCGGGGGGGGCGGGTGGGGGTCAGCAGGGATGAGGGGGACACCACCGGGACCCCAGCACCCCTGACCCTGGGCTTACCGGCACCGGTTGGATCTGAGATGAGACGGTCTGGGTGGCGGGGGCCAAGAGTTGCTGGGGTGCCATGTTCTGCACGGGGCCGGGCAGTGCCACGGGCTGGCCCGGCTGTGGGGCGGGCAGGGGGCTGGGTAGGGTCTGCCCCGCACCCCCGGGCTGCACGGCTGGATGCAGAACAGACAGCGTTACCAGACTCCCCCCGCCAGCACCAACCCACCCTGGGCAGCCCCATCCCACAGGGATGCATCCCCCCCCTCCCTCCTCCTCCAGCAAGAACCCCCACCCAGGGAGCCCTGATGCCCCCCCCCCCCCCCCCCCCCCAAATCCTCACCGGAGAAGCCGTGCTGGTTCTGGTACCCCACCAAGGGCTGGGGGCTGAACTGGCCGGGGGACGCGGGGACGAAGCTGGGGGCCAGCATCACGCTGGGCTGGGGCTGGCTGCTGGGCGCAACCGCCGGCTCCTCCTTGGCCCCCGGGGCCGGCGCCGGCAGCAGCGGGGCTGGGGGCTGCGGGGTGAAGGTGGCCATCCCGGGGGGCCCCGGGTAGACGCTGCCACTGGGGGTGGCGGGGGGAGGCTTGCTGGGTCCCAGGTAGGTGCTGAGGGTGCTGGGGGCCGCGGGGAGCCCTGGGGGCACGGCGCTGTCGGGGGCACCGAACGGTGAGTCAAACAGCCCCGAGAAGTCGTTGTCCGGCGTGTTGATCAGCTGGAGCATGTCTGTAAAACATGTGTGTGTGTGTGTCCCCCAGCCCTGCGCCGTCAGCGCCTGCCCTGGCCCCACGCCTCCCAAGCAGCCCCCCCCCCTCCCCGGGGCTGGCCCCATCCTGCCCACCCCACCACTCAGCACTTTGGGGATGGATGCCTATAACCCAGGGGGCAAAATTCCCCGAGAGCCCAGGAATCTGCTGCACCCTGCTCCTCAGGGCCTCCTAGCCACCACGCCGGTGGGGAAACTGAGGCACGGCGCTCACAACGGGGGTGCTGAGGCCTGCTCATAGGCAGCCAGAGGTTTCCAGCCCAGTGTGGGGGTGGCAGGATGGATCTCAGCCTGTTTCTGAGGTTGGGGGGCAGAGACAGGCTTGTGCCAGCTTGTTCATTTATCCCGCACTGGAAACTCCCCCAAAACCACCAAAGCAGCCCCTGTATCAAGGGAAGGGGGTGCTCTGGCAGAGGGGTGGCACACCCAGGATGTGCCAGACCCCCGTGCCAGGAGTGCCTGCCCACGGCACCCCCCCCAGGAAAGCAGCTGGACAAACACAGGGTTAAATAACCTCGGGGGTCTGCCCCGATCAGCGGGACCTGGGTGCCCCCAGGATGTCCCCATCGTCATGCTCTGCCACCCACACATCAGGGTGTCCGGAGGTGCCCCCCACTGAAATGTCCCAGGATGCTTCCACCAAAACGCCCTGGGCTGCCCCCACGGTGGCACCCCCCACGCACACACACACACACACACACACCCCCCACCCCGAGGTGCACAGCCCCCAGACACCCCCCTCCCCACCATGGGGTGCAGCACCCCGAGAGGGACCGCGACGGCGATGCAGCCAGGCGAGGAGGAGGAGGAGGAGGATGGCGAGGAGGGGGGTACCTTCAAAAGTGCGCTCCATACCGGCGGGCGCTGGGGGTGGGGGGTGGGGGGGGTCCCCAGGAGCAGGCTGCAGCTCCTGCTCAGCCCTGTGCCGGGCCGCTCCGAGGCACCGGGATATTTTAAAGCCATGTTCTCACCTCCTCCCCGCCAGGCCCTCCCCGCCAGGCCTGGAGCGAAGCCGGCGATGGGGTGATGCGACTCCGCCAATCGCCGCCCGCGCGCCCGCCGGCCGCCCGCCGCCCCCAGACAGCCCCACGGCCACGCCAAGGTGAGCCCGGCACCGGGTTACTCCCGGGCACCCTGGGGTAACCCCTCGGCGGTTATTTGGGGTCAGCCGCCGTTAACCCCTTCGCCGCGTGCCCCATTGTGTCCCCCCCCCCCCCTCCCCATCCCCGAATCCAGCCAGCCCGACACGATGCTTCTCACTCAATGCCCGGAGGAGACACCCCGCAACGACCCCATTTCCCCCCCAAAGACATCCAGCCCTCAGCACCCCACTCTGCACAGGTGGGTTTCCTTCCAGGGGGGCTCCCAGCCTCAACCCCCCCTTACAAAAGGGACACCCCCCTCCAAGACTCCCCCGGGGTCCAGGAGCAAAGTCTGGGGGTGCGGATAAGGGGTGCTCTCTCCTGGCCCCCCCCCCCTTCCTCCTGCCCAGCCCCGATGGTGGGCACGGCTCTGCCAGCCACCCAGCACCAACCAGATATTTCTATCCCGTGGCACCCACTGTCACCCGTGCCACCAGCACGACACAGCGGTGCCACAGCTGCCTCCCATGGCGTGGGAGCCCGTGGGGCAGAGCCGCATGGCTGTGGGTCCCGGGAGGTCCCAGCAAGCCACATCCCTAAATGCGCATCCCACAGTCACCCCGGGGGTGGGCAGGAGGACAGGGGATGACCCGTGGCCACCCAGGGACCGGGGGCAAACCTACAGCTCGCGGCGAAGCCACGTATGGGAACCGTGGGGCACGAGGTTGCCCGGATGAGCGCAATGCGAGGGAGCGTGGCAAAACCCCACGGTGTGACACCCTGACGCCAAAAACCTCGCCGAGGGGGAGGCAGGTGGCACCTGGATCTGCCCCGATCCTCCTCCATTGCTGGCGGGATGAGTCTCCAGCCCTGGGATGTCACCTCCACCCCAGCTCCCTGAGGAGAGACACCCCCCCCCCCAGGTCCCCACAACGGGGCAGGCGTCGGAGGGCTCGGCCAGCCCCGCGCCCACCTCGCCGCATGCTCCACCGGCTCTGCCGGTCCGTGCCGGATGGCGCCGGAGGCGAGCGCAGGGTTGGCGAAGGGCTGGGAAACCCATTTTTTTTTCCTAAAGACACCAGTAAAACCTCGGTGCTACTGTGGTGGGGAGCAGGTCCCCCTTGGGAGGGGGGAGTGGGACCCCCCGGCAGCATCTCCATCCCACAGCCCCCCGCCCAGGTCGGTGGGTGCTGATGGGTCCCAGCCCCGGAGCCGCTGGAAAGCCCCCCCCTCCATCACCCCATTGCGGTTGGGTGGCTCTGGGGGGGGGTGGGGGGGGTTCCCACCGTTCTGGAGGGAATGACCGGGAGTAACCCCGCCAATGACGTCATGGGGGCGGGGCTAGAGGCGACACGATGCTGCGGTCATGGAGTTGGGGGGGGGGGGGGGGGGGGGAACCGTCAGGGTTGTCCCGGCACCCGCACCTCCAGCCCGGGGGTCCCGGTGTCTTACCCCCCCGCCCCGGGACACCCCGAGCCCCCCGGGAATAACGGAGCCAGCCCGGCCCTGCACCCACTCCGCGCTCCAGCAGCTCGGTGTGTCCCGCCCCACGCCGCCGGGTCTCTCCGGCTGTGCCCTGGCCACGCACCGAGTCCTGGTTCCGCACCGAACCCATTCGCTCGGTTACCCCCCCGCTCCCCGATTCCCCGACAGTTCACCGAGCCTGGTCCACCCCCCCCCAGCCCCGGCCGTGCACCGACCCGGTTCCCAGCCGTGCACCGAGCCTCGGTTACTCCCCCCAGCCCGGTTCCCGGCCGTGCACCGAGCCCCGGCCACGCACCGACCCGGTTCCCAGCCGTGCACCGAACCCGGTCCTGTCCGTGCACCGAGCCCCGGCCATGCACCGAGCCCGGTCCCGTCCGTGCACCGATCCGGTTCCCGGCCGTGCCCCGGTCGCTCCCCCCCGCCCGTGCCCCGAGCCCGGCCCGACTCGCCGCTGCCCGGGTCGGGACGCACCGTCGATGTCGCTGAGCAGCGCCGTGTCGATGTCGCTGGCCCCGGAGAGGCCGAGGGACGGGGCCAGCCCCTCCAGGGCCGCGTCGTCGAAGGCGAGGACGCTCATCCCGGCGGCGGCTCCCGGGGCTGCGGCGGCTCTAGGAGCGGCGGGGCCGCCCGCCCGCCACGGCCGCGCTGGCCCGGGGAGAGGGAGGAAGGGGACGAGCCGCCAAGTTGCTCCCGCGAACCGTGCCCAGACCTGCTACCGGGCAGGGGAGGGCGGGAGGGACGGAGGGAGGGGATGGAGGCGGATCCGCCGCCACCGCCCGCCCCGAGGCCGCCTCCCCGCTCCGCCTCGCTGCACCGGGAAGGGACCCCCGGCCCCGCCGGGAAGGGACCCCCGGCCCCGCCGGGGAGGGACCCCCGGCCTCGCCGGGAGCGGAACAAGGCAGGCTGCAGCCCCTGAGCAAGGCAGCAATCCCCTGGGGAAGTCACTGACCCCTTGGGGACAGTCACCGAGCCCCGGGGAAGTCACCGACCCCTTGGGGACAGTCACCGAGCCCTGGGGAAGTCACTGACCCCTTGGGGACAGTCACCGAGCCCCGGGCGCCGTCACCAACCCCCGGGCACAAGCACCCAACACCTGGGTTGGGCATTAAATACCATTTAGTCCCGGATCGGGGGCAAGCAGGCAGGCCGGCGTGGGGAGAAGGTGGTGGCGGTGGCTGCAGAAGCCTCCAGCACCTCGTGGAGGCCACGTGCTTGGGCCACCGTGTCACCTCTCGGGGCTCCTGCGGTGGCCAACACAGAGACAGGCTGCAGGCATCTGCCTTCCCCCTCCCAGCTCCGGGTTCCTGAGCACGTCCCGGCACCGCTGCCCGACCGTGGCACGGCCCAGGGTGGGAGAAGCTCCCACGGCCCCAGCCTCAGCCAAGCCCACGCACCCACCTGGGTGCTGTGAGCTGTGGGAACCAGGAAAACCACTGGTGCCATTGGGGTCAGCCCCGTGGCTGCCCACGGGTGGTGGGGGTCAGTGCGGGGGGGTTCTCACGCCAGGGCAAGGCCATGCCACCATGCCCTTCAGCGCTACGCGGTCTGTCTTACTGCTGGGAATAATTGAGGAAAAGAAAATGCGCTGCAACATCGGCCCCCTGAAAGTTTGCCCGCTCCTCTTCTGCACCACCGGGCACCAGCTGAGCCTCTCCGTGAATTAATTAACCCTGCCTGCCCCATAAAAACCTCCCCCCGCCAGCCTCACTGGCTTCCACGTGGCGGGCACAGCGGGCCCCCCTGTGCAATATGGGGATCCCCCGCACGGCACGGGGCCCCCTGGTGCGATGTGGGGCTCGCTGGGGACCACGCAGAGCCCCTCCCTCCACGCGTGCGCGTGGCGGTGGCAAAGCCGGGGGTGCACAGCCCTGTTGGGCCCCTCACCCCGCCTCGAGCCTCCTCGAGCTGAGGGACATTAACCTGCGCCCGAGCTGGGGACGAGCCCGGGGAGTCCTGGCTCAGCTCCACGCCGACGGCCGGGGCAGCGTCACCCGCGCACAGGCCGCTGGCAGCTTGGGCATCTCTCACCCACAGCAAACACGGCTCGAGAAAAAACCTTGGGAGAGCCACAACCTGCCATGGAGCACGGCGGGGGGGTGTGTGGGTGTGTGTGTGTGTGCTCCCCCCTCTTATTTGGGTCACCAGGGAGAAGCCAGGCTCCGTGGCGGTTTCCCTTCGCTTCCCTCGCAGCAGCTTGCACGCTGCAGGAGGAGAGGGCAGGTTTCCAAGGCTGGGGATTTGGATGTGCAGTGACCCCCCCCCCACACACACACATGGAGGATTTAGGGCAGCCTCGTGCAAACATGAGGGTCACCCGCCTTTAATAACCGCCCCCCCCCCCCCCCCCGCGAGACCCAGGGGACAGCCTTCCCCCTGAGACATGGAGCGGGGGAAATCACACGCGTAAAGACGGCTTTATTTTCGCACGAGCCGCGGGCAGAGCTGGATTTTGCAGGGCCCCTTCCCCGACCCCAAACCTCCCCCCTCGATCCAGAAGAGGGGGGATGTATCACCCACGCACGATGCTTTCCCCAGCTCTGGGGGACCAAAGCAAAGGAGCGGCATCTTCTGTGACAGCAGGAAGAACGAAGCACCCCGGCAGCTCCGTGGGACAGGGCGGGTTTGGAGGCCGGTGGATGCCACGCGGGGTGGGGCTCCCCGGGGTGAGCTGGGTTGCGGGGTAGGGAAAACCCCGCCTGTAGGACCAGGCCCACGCAGCCAATAAGCGCGGCGGCCCGGAGTGGAGTGATTCTGCATCACGGCTCAGGGCCCGCGATTACATCATGTCGGTCCTGCGGGGATGGCAACGGGGCCACGTGGTCGATCCGGAGTCGCTGAGATGTTTTCCTGAGCGCAGGCCGGGAGGAAACCGCAGGGATGGAGTAGAAAACAAACCGGCCCCGAGATAGTTGGGGTCTGGTCACCGAGCCGGCCGGGCGGGCTCGCGTGGCCGCGGTGGGCTCGCCGGCGGCGTGGAGCATCGTCTTGAGCCGCGCCGGCGGCAGCGACGGGCTCCGGGACGTGCTGGGCTTCAGCTGCAGAGCCCGAACGCGGCAGCTCCCGGGATCCTGCGTGGAGCATCCCCCCTCCATCCCGCTGCTCAGCTTGGGTGGGCTCCCCCCCACCTTCAAAAAAACTGCTGGAGCCCCCCTCCCCCCCCCCCGGGATGTTTGCTGCCTGCCAGCACAGTTTAACCCTGCGCTGAAAGCAGCCTCTGCCCGCCCAGAGCTTCGCTGACATGCCCTGCACCTCGGCATCCCTCGGGCTCTGGGAGGGCAGAGGGGGGGGTTTGTTTTGCTGTGGCAGGGCGCAGCGTTAATCATTAACTCGTGTCGAAAACAGATTCAGAGCCTCTTCTCTCCTTCGCTACCTGTAACTCTGCTTTGTCAACTACCCCTCTTCCCGAGCCACGGCTTGGGTAAACACGCAGCCGGGCCCGGCGGCAGCTCCAGCGTGCCGCGCAGCCCCGGCTCGGGGTTTATTGATCCCCGAGGTGAAATGGGAAAAGCCAAACGCACGTGCGGTCACTTCCCAGTCGCGCCGGGATCCAAACGCGGCGCCCCAACGCTGGGAAGCTGTGAGGGGGCTCCCTGTGCCGGGCTCAGCCCGTCCTGGGCTGGGCAGCTCGGGGTGGGGGGGGGGACAGCGGAGGGTGGAGGTCCCCGGTCTCTGCGGGAACCCCGGGCAGGTCTGGAGGTGAGAAGCCCGTCAGGGTTCACAAACCCTGGGAAGCCATGCTCGGTTTGGGGAATCGGGGCGTCACCGGCGGCTGGAAGGGCACACATGTAAAATGTCCCTGCCCGCTTGTCCTGCTCTTACACTCTTCGCTTTGCACCCACTTTGGCCCCTGCTGGAGACAGAAGTTGGGGTTAGGAGGATCTTTGCCTCACGCTGTTTTTTAACCGCTGGGCTCCAGTGTGGTGCAGCCCCCCCGGCGAAGAGCAGCTCCCTGCTCTGGCTGTTTTCCTTCTGCACAGAGCTGGAAATTTGTGACCCAGTGTTTTTTTTTTTTTGTGTGTGATTTCTGCTCTGTCAGGGCAGCAGTAGCTCCGCACCTTTCTCATCGAGCCGGGCCATGAACCTACCCGAATATATCCCACACAGAGTCGGGCACATGATCAGTGCGACGGTAAACAAGCCGGGGCAGAGCTGGATTTAATGCATGCTAATCTGCAGCTACGAGGAGGGGAAACCCATCTTTCAAGCTGTTCCACACACACCCCTTCCCCAAAGCAGCTTTTAAACCACAGTCCATCAGGTTTGATCTTTGCGCGTGAGACGGGGAGGGCACCGCTCTGATAAATTGGTTTGCCTTTGGCCAAAGTAACGCCACGTCACTTCTCCGGGGTTCCTAGACGGCTGCTCTTCCTTCTCCTCGGCCCATCACAACCACCGTCAGGAATGAGGATGTCGGAACAAATTCCTGGCTGGTGAAGACAGGAGAAGTCGCCCATTGCACGGGCTGGGAACATCACCTGCGTTGCAGTGCATGACAGCTCCTCAGCCGTTGCTTTCTAGGTCACCGAGGCAGGAGATCCAAAGCTACCCCGAGGACCACCTGGCAAGCCCTGCGGGGTGGGCGGGCGTCCCCCCCAAGCACCGAAGCTGTCACCCGTGTGCCTGCCTGATGTCAGCCACAAAGGCCGCGCCAAAAGGCGTAGCGGGGAAGGAATCTCCCGGCAGCGGCAACACGCTGCTGTGCACAGCAAGACCCACACGCAAAGGCAAAGCGAAGCATCTTCTGCTGGGGGGGGGGGGGGGGGCAACCCTCCTCCTGGTGAGAACACCCGGGGACTCTGGCGTTTGGGGGGAAAACCGAGGATTCCCAAACGCCTGCGTCCTGTTTTGACATCGGGGCAGCTGCAGAGCGAGCGCGTCCCCCGCGCTGCGGGTTCAGGCCGGGCGGCGAAGCGGAGCGAGACAGCACCTGAGAGACAGACGGATACCATCCTCCAGGTCACACTAGTAGTGTATTTATTGGAGTATCTCACATGCAGGAACCAAAGTAGAGATGATTTCTGGAGCAAGTTAAACAATGGCAGATTAATACAGTTGTATTGTCCTTAACGTAAACACTTTCTACATGAATACAGCAACGTTTTAGTGTTGGGTTTCTTTTCTTTTTGTGTATTTTGTTTCTCTTTACATAGTCAATCTCTTTAAACAGTTATGTCCCCCTTCTCCCCCTACCCCGTTCCCAAACAAAAAAATATCCAATATCTTCAGTAAATAAATATTATCCACTTTTATCTGGAAAGCCTACAGCTGTAATATACAGAGAAGCTATTACACAGGTTACATTTGTAGGGTTAACGATAGCTCGTAATAACATGTACAGAATGAGGAGCTCGTACTCATAAAAACACAGAGCAGGGTGGGAAGTCTGGCATAGATTTGCCATGGGCTAAAGAGAAGCAGCACCGCCGCTCGGCGCCGCTCGAAAGCCGGCCAGCTCTCGGTGAAACGCAACCTCCAACCTCGCCTCTCCCCAGGACGGAGCAGCAACCCGGGGCACGGAGGCTGCAGCTTGGGAGGGACGAGGGGAAGGTGCTGCGTGGGCCCCAGCAACGCCCCAGCAAGGGGATTCCTGCCTCCTCTCCTCTGCTGGGGGGGGGGGGGGGGGGCAAGGGCGGGTGGTTGCCCCCCAGCAGTTGAAGGGTTACCTCCAAGAAGGCTCTAAATCCACTCACTGATTGCCTGCTTCATTATTTCCATAAAAATAACTGTCCTGAGCTGTTTTTTGGTTTTG